CCGATATTGGACCAATATCTGCCTATATTGAACCAATATCTACCTATCTTGGTCCAATATTGGGCTGGTGATATTGGCCCAATATTGTTTTGCCAATATTGGTCCAATATCAGCTTGATGGGTGTGTATCTAGATAACCCTGTGCCAATAATGATGTTCGGAAAATATACCCTGTGCCAATAATGATGTTCGGAAAATATACCCTGTGCCAATAATGATGTTCGGAAAATATACCCTGTCCAGCACATTTCGCACTTTTTTCCAGAACCTAGTCCCCAGTACCTTTAACAATGGGAGTGCCCCCCGGGGGTGTACCGGAGGGACAGAGAGTAGGTGAGGAAAAAATGCAGAGGAAGCAAAAAGTGAATAAGAGAGCGGTCGGATGATTAGGTAGAGGGGAGTGAATAAACAAAGTAGATTAGCAGTTGGAAAGTAGTAGAAGAAAAAAAGTTAGAGGAGGAGAGATTGTAGATGAGGCAGAATGTATAGGAGGCAAAGGCCGGAAGAATACGGATGAAGTAAAAAGGTAGAGCAGGAAAGCAAACAGAACGATGCACGTCAGGCAGAGAAAAATGATGAAAATTTTCATTGACCGGCGAATTCCGCTGACAATTGGCACATGTGTAATACATGTTAGAACAAGCAGACAAAGGAAACGTCTATGCGAGGCTCTGACGAATATTCACGACCTGACAGTGAAATTCATGAATAAACACTAGGCCGCGCACGCTTCGCGGTAATGTAGCGTAATGTAAAGTAACCTAATACAGTCACAATATACACACACGCACGCACGCACGCACACACACGCACGCACGCACACACACACACACACACACACACACACATATATTTATAGAGAGCTGTAGGATGATGAAAAACGTCCCAGTCGTCTGGAAGATTAGCATTAACAAGCAGACGCAATGAATTATTTAATAAAATATAATTAGGAGGTGGATGATGGGGAGAGGACATGTGGGGGAGGGGTGGAAGGAAAGAAGACA